ATGTAGATATTCTCTGAATTTCTTTTTTATTTAATCAATTAATTTAATATAATTAATCTTATTCATCTATATTCTGTCACATGTTCTCCTTCATTTTGATATTTCTTTTGTTTTTTTTAATGGCTTGGAATGTCCCTTATTGACAGTAGCATTTGAAGCTTTGGCATGTTGATCCGCCTTTACAATGAATACTACTGGAAAACTACAATGTGACATACAGTGTATTGTTCACTCGATGGGATGCTTATACTGGCAGATTTGAACAGTTTCCCAGACTCCAAAATAGTTACAGCAGGAACAATAAACAAACCACAGTGCCAGCCTTGTTCGCTTTATCCAAGAAAAACATTGTTTAGTCTCTACATGCAGTTTGCTGATGACACGATTTAAATACCAGGTTGAGGGGCTTTTTATAGTTCACTTGCACCATTAAATTCTATTTTCCTACTGGTTTGAACACCGATTTTAATCTGGCGTGATTAGTAGAAACTGCCCTGATTTCAGCATGAAGGGTCCCTGCACAGGAGCAGGACTCTTTGTCACCAGCAGGGTGATGGACACTGTTGGCTCTCCTATTTATGTCCTCCTCCATGCAAATGTGCTGGCACTCAAACAAGCAGTGATCATAAAAATAACCCACAGTCAAGAACATGGGGAGCATAGTGAATGAAACCCAACACCGGCATCTCACCCCGCCAACACTGGCTCTCACCTCTGACTAAGACGCCCTCTACAAGTCTTCAATTCATCGATTGTAGATCTTTTTTTTTTTTTTTTTGATTGGTGGTGTACAATCTGATACGAATTAAATGCGCCAGAAGCATGGCTCCTTTTTAACCATTTATTGAGTTGAGTCTTCTGCCTGCTGAGCCTCTAATGGCTAAAGGGCAGGGTGTGAGCCAAATTCAGAGACTTAAGAGGTATTTGGCTGGTCATGGTTCCAACTCTACACTCCATCAAATCAGAGTGCACCTGCCTCATCAAAAGGTTCCAGACTGCACATGCAACTTAACCTTTGGTGCTGAAAGTGCTGATTATAGAATGCTTATAGGGGTGAATAGAGACTGGTTTACCGTGACCTTTGTCCAATGGTCAACGGGAAAGCAACAACTACTAGCCTATAAAGTTTATTAACTTTCTCTCTAAGAATTAGAAGAGAAGCTTGGCACTGCGACTAGAAACAGGGCAAAACGGCAGCTAGCTTGGCTCTGCCTAAATAGCAACATTAGCAAAGTCTACCGATACAAGCACCTTTATATCCCGCCACAAAAATACTTTTTAGTAATTTGCAGTTTTGTTGGGGATTATGGACCGCGGTCACCTCTGGATGTCCAGCAGCAGATTTTTACACTTAGATTTTTGTACAAATTTAACAAAGATAACATTTGTTCGATTAATGATCTTTAGAGGTGCTGGAAGGTGGAGTATGTTACCTTTGGGCTGTTTCTCCCTGTTTCTAAACTGTGCTGAGCTTAGTTAGCCAGCTGCTATTTGTAGATCCACATTCATGCAGACTATAGACTGAAATCTGAACTAAATTTCAAAATCACTCTTTTAAAGTCCTCTAATAGTATGTAATAAATCAAATTATGTGGGCAGCATGTGGTACAGCGGTTAGCATCGTGGCCTCAGAGCAATTTGATTATAGCTTCAAACCTGCAATTGTCCTTTTTGTGTGGAGTTATGTTCTCACTTAGCTTGCGTGGATATTCTGGAGGGCAAGTCCAACATAGTTAACTAAATTTATTTTAGGTGTGAATAGTTGTTTGTCCCTCAGCCCCATGATACACTGATGAATTTTTCAAGGTGTACCTGGCTCGATTATATTATGTGCATCCTAATGTCTTGTCATACAGATTTATATCAGCAGATGATTATATTTAGCAAAACTGAATTCGTAGTATTTATGCATTTGGTCTGGACTTTTGTTTATTATTGTGTATTCTGTATCTGCATTCAAACATGGTATATAATATTTCCCCCCCTGGTGGGGAAACTGCATCCAGGTCTGTAGATCTTTACAGTAAATCCATAAATCTCTTTATAGCCTCTCAAACTCCCACTCACAATGCTCTCAAACAACCTGTCCGTGTGTCAGCCTGGTTTCCACAGCAACTGAAGTGGCAAGCTGTGTCCATTCAACGTGAGTTTTAAAACCCGTCTTTAAATGGAGCCTTTGATGGACCCGAGCGAGTGGAGTTATAAAATGAGCAAAACAAAAAGAGAGCGGGCCTCGGAATGATGGCACTTGAGGCAGTTGATTAACTTCAGCGTGAGTGCAGCCAGAGTGGCATGTAGGAAGGAAAGAAAAAGGAATATGGAAATGATGACTTGGATAAGGGGAAGAGATGCATGGAGGTAAAATCCTCTCAGGGGCTCCGCTTAGATCCAACATTTCCTCTGGAGTTATGCACACATTCGCAAACCTCTGAGAAGGCTGTAAAATGAAGTGCGGCTACAGAGTGTATATTAAAACTCACACAATCATACTGTATCTTGAGAAAAAGAGATATTTTCACATCATTCCGTTTGAAAGTGCAAACTCCATCTGACGAGGTCATTTCATTCACACATGTAACTTAAAGCAAACACTCACTCTGGAATCATTCCATGCTGTGTTATGTGTGTTTCTTTGACATCATTAACGAGAAGATTTTTTTCCCTCTTCTTAGAAAAGTATTTTCAACAAGGAGCACTATTTAAACACATTCAATCCTGTTACTTCTAAATGAAGCTATTTCTCAATAGGGGTATTTCAAGGTTTTGAGTAAAGTGCCACTTTCGTGTGACTGTTGTCTACCTGCCTGCTGCACAGTAATGACACAGAACTCTCCAGGAAATAAGTCATGAATTGAATGTGCTCAGTATAAAAGATGTGCAAGGTCACTTAAGATCCCATAAACCAGTGTAAAATGATTTGTGGTTTACTTTTGCTCTCCACACAGAAAGGGAAGGCTGCCTCCCCGTTCATGGTCGCTTGCCCTTGGCACTGGTTTTAATTAGAAGGGTCAAGTGTGATTACCACTGAGCTCATTATGTTGGCAGGCCATTGAGGCAGTAATGGCTAAATAAAAAAGGGAACAACTGAAAGGGCAGCACGCTGACTTTGGTGAGAGGATGAACTTGGCGCATCAAAAATAAACAAGTTTCAGTGGAGGAGACACTTTGTTGCTATTTCCTCAGACAATTATTGACATACTGTAGAGAAATTGTTTGATAATCTCAACCGCACACGCTGTCAGTTAGACTTCAGATGTCCATCAAGGCTAAATCAATCATCCAGATGCCTGCAGTGGGACAGATTCATACATGACTGACAGATACCAAATGAACAGTAACAGCTACAGATGAGGAGGGGAGAAGGCTGCTCCTTTGATATAATTAAAAGTACAGAAAATTATAAACTAAAAGATCCAATAATAATATAAGACACTGTATATTACATGTTGGCATTTCATCAAAATCAAATATTGGTCGGTCATTGC